TTCAGAATTGCGAGTGACTACCAAGGCCCAGGCCTTGCATTCTGTGGAAGCAGACTCCAAAACCACATTGGTACCATGATCTCCTCGATGGCGGAGATCTTTTCTTTTTCTCCCCATGTCCCACTGGGGGAAGAAAAATAAAAGTTTATTTAATTTTTACAAATGAATAAACAAAAAGTATCAAACAAGTATATCAAGTATTTCTATCAAAGATTTTCTTTTCTATTGAAAATATTTGAATACAGTATTTTTGCAAAAGATTAGTAAACATTTATATTTCTTACTATTTCATTGAGCTTTAGAGATTGATACACAATTAACCTAGTTAAAAATTGACATATAAGGTTATAAAATCAGAGTTTTAAAAAACATTTTTGAAAACTTAAGTTCTTTTTGATAAGATTTCATAATGAATACTTTAAAATATTTCTAGTAAATGAATTAATATCAAATATTAATAATAAAAATGCAATTTAAATTTAATAGATAAATATCAACTTTTACAAATTTGATGAGTTTGAAATGCTATAAATGGAAACAATACAAAACTCTAATTGAAGAAGAATATGTTTTATATAATCCTTTAAGAAAACATCTAAACTTTCCTAAGTGTCTTTAAGTAATTATTTGGAAAATATAATTTATACACAAAAAAAGTACTTATATTCTTTAAAAAGTGAATAGAAACTAATTTCAGAAAAACCCAATTATAATTTAATATATAGAAAAAAACTTAAAAACAGATTATTAATAAGCTATCAAGTTTCCAGAACTTAATAACTATACCAGGTAGTTGAAGTTTATTTATTTAATTATTTTTAAATTTTTCAGGATTTAAATATTTAAATAAATCTAAATGAATTGACATTCATAATTATAATTTATTAGAACTTAAAATTTAATATTTAACAAAATAAGAGATTGGATTTGATTCAAAACTTTCTGGTGGGTTAGGACTTTAGACATCAGATTATTAATGTTCTCTCTCCAAATAATGACAAAATATATACACGATTAATTAAATAACCATAAAAATACTGTTAATTTTGTTATTAATATTAGAATCCAACATTATTTGAATGCAAATAACAGATATATCAAAATTATAAGTAATTAAGAAACTAATAACTCCTATAATATATTTTACTTTAAAAGAATTTTAAAATACTATTAAAACCAATTATCATAATCTATTGTTTTTTAGTATTGTTTAAGAGACAATGTTCTATATTTAAATTCTTCTATGTCTGGGTTAAAACATACTCAAATTTATATTCTTCTATTCCAGTTCTTGTCAACAAGTTTATATTTTATATTCTAAAACATCAAAAGCTTCTTCACATATTCAGCTCCAAACCCTTTTTACCAATTATCAGATTTAGAATGACTTTATAATTCTTAAAAAAAGCTCATCTAAGAAGTTTGAGGTGTATTACTATGTTAATTCCTTATTTAAATTATTAATTCTAATATCCAAATCCATTTATATTTAATTAAAATCATTTTCTATTAGAAATGATCCAATAAGATTAAAATCCAAAAGAGATGCTCAAAAGATTTGAATTTTAGGTAAAAACCTCTTCTTCAGCCAGATGGATAGAGAAAATCCTCCCTTTAAAACTGAAATTAGTTTTTCTTTATTATGAAAATGGAGTTTATTAATTGTACGATATAAACTCAAAAGTAATTACTAAAAAAGGATAAATCTCAAAGAATATAAAATTCTTCCTTGAAATTTACACAAAGTAATATTTTTTAATATTTTATAGTGTTTTGATATTTCATGATCCCACAGATCTTTAAATGAAATTATTAGATTTGAATATAAATTAAATAAATCCTAAATTTGTGTTTAAATCAAGTGACTAAATAGATATCAAGAGTGATGAAGCAACTAGAGAAATATTTTTAGATAGTATTAATTCATTTAATATTTAGAATTTCGAGTTTTCTTTATTGATTGTTATTAGAACTAAATTAAATATTTGATATCCTAAGATTTAGAAAGGCACTACTCAAAAAATAATGTCTGCCATTATGCCATAAGAGTTTTACCTCTAAAATATGACTCTTAAACAAATTTTGAATTAACACCAGTTGTCCGATATGACTATCCTAATATAATTTCATAAGAGGAGTTGTACTACTGGTAAGTAGATTAAGAAACTATAGCAGTATATGGATAGGATTGTGATAATTGTAAATCTGAAATTCTTCTTATTAAACCTTATTTAAAGTAGCAGGCATTTTATATTATTCACATTAAATTTGAATTTTCATACACAACAATAAATGTAACAAATTGGATTAACCCTAACTAAGTTGCTATTTGGGTAAATTGTAATGATGGGTCAACAAACCCAAGCATTTTTTGTTTTGATTTAAGAAGATATTATAATGGTCAAAACTGGTTACCTGAACCTTAATTTATAGCAACTTTGGTAATCAATTAAACATAAAATCACTAGGTTCAAGATGGATGTATTGCTAACAAGCCATCAATTTTTATGGATATTTATCAATTCCATTTAGAATCTACTTATGTAATTTCAATAAGACAAGTTGGAAATAGAGCCAAGATATCTATCATCAATTTTAAAAATATTTAAGAACCATAAATTGTTAGTAAAGTTACTGTTGATTCCTTTTGGATTTAAACTGATATTGATCATTCTTATATTCTATTATATAATGATATGGCGTATGCTATAATTTATTATTATTAGAATCCAGGATGACACAATCAAATTTTCAATTTTAATCCCTTTTGATGAAGGATTATTATTATTAAAAATTTTTGAAAAAGCAAAAATAATTGAAAAATATGGTATCCATATAGTTGAAGAACTATTTGAATTCTATTTATGAATATCATAATAAAAATATAAAGCTTAATTATAGAAGTCTTAATAAATTAAAATTATTAAATCAATCTGTTGATCATCTCCTTTAGTTTAATTCAGAGTTGAATGACAGGTAGAAATCTGGCTCCTTATGAATCTCTTTTCATAAATCTTTAAACAAGATCCTCAATTTTATTAATCTTTAATCTTAATTATTTTTAAAAGTTGTAGTATGTAAATTACCTGAAGGGGAATCTAATAAATTCCACATCCAAATTTATAAATTAAAAGTTGAATAAATCAAATATTGAGATACATAAACTTTAGAATTATATTTGTATTCAAAAATTGTTTTATCAAAGTAACTTAAATAATGGAGCTAAACTAATATTTGATAACAAAAGATTTTTTCTCTACTGCATTAAAATTTCATACTCTTCAATTACTTTTATTAATGTAAATGGAAGACTTTATTCCTGCATATAGAAACAATTATTCTTAAGAAGCAATTACATTAAAATACTGCTTAACAAACTTTATTACTGTCTTATTCATGCAATTCTGAATTACTAAACTAATAAAAATATCAAAAGTTTCCAATTTTAATTGAATTTTCCCAATTATTACAAAAAAGATCCTTTTTAATAAGGAATTTTTGAATAAATTTCTGATTTATAAAATTCATTAAATCTTAGGATTATATTTTTGCGATAGAATATTCAATATAATCTATATAAAATGTATCAATTATAGTTACTGTTATTAAAATAGACTTTGGCATATTTTGGATTAATTGTAATATCCTTATCAAAGCATATTATAGCTTCTTCATGTAAAGATAATATATTTATCTTAAAGAGATTTTATATCAGAACACTTTAGACTAATCTAATCTAACTATTGTTTAAATAGGCTTTATCATAATTTTGATTAAATTTAAGAATTTTGTAATATTATTATTCAGCTTAATTGTATTGAAAAAGAAAAAGTTTTTTAAAAAATCAAAAGAATGACTTCTAATGCAAAACCTAAGTTTGATTATCAAATTAACCTTTATTAAGAACAGCTTTTAATTTTTTTAATTTAACTTTTAGGGTTTATTAAAAATTTGAATTGTTCCCTTACATTATTTGATATTTATTATTATTTTGATTAAATTTTTATTAAATATAGTAAGGCTCTAAATTGAATCCTTAAATTTCTTAACATTTTCACTAATTCTAATCATAACTTTCTAGAGATTGATCTGATTGATTTAATTTTTCTTATGCCAAGCCAAGTAAAAATAATAAAAAATACTTTTATTTATAAAAGCTTTCCAATTTTTAGGATTAAGAAAAATTGTTTGATCAGGGCTATTTATTGCTTCTTTGTATCTTTTTAGTTTATTTCATAAAAAATCTTGATATTTGATTTCTTATGCAATTCCTAGGTTTTTTGTCAAATTTTATGCTTTAATTATTATATGCTTAATCATTATTAGGAGATAAAAGTACTTGATATTAATTTAATCTTGAGATCATTCCATGTACTTATAAAAATAAACCTAAAACAATAGCAGCTATTATGAATTATAAATAGATATTTCGATAAAAGTTGAGCTTCTAAATTTTTGTTTATAATTTCTAATATAATATTTTAACAAGAAATATCCTTTCTATCAAAAGTGTTATAATTAGTGCAGCTTATATTTGTTAAATATGAGAGTTCTACACTCTTTAAATTTTTTTTTCTGATGAAAACATATTTCAGATAAGAAAGTAAAGAATTATGAGCTAGTCGAACTATAATTATCTTTGGTAAACTAACTTATTTAGAAGTTAGGAAGGTTTAATATAAAAAAAAATCATCGGATCTTAAAGAATTATATTTCAATTTTTCTTTAAATGGCTTAGTTTGAACACTTCAATTAATTCAAATTGAATTAAATTAGAAAGACGTATTATCCTAATCTATTATAACTTATTCTAATATAATACCATATATATAATTTAATTGATTGATATATCAATATCAGTGAAATTTTTGTGTTAAACTATTAAAAGAGCATTATTTGAAGATTTTTTTCATTAACAGTTTAGTTTTCTATATTATATCATTTAGAAATAACATTATTGCCTTAATTATATTTCTAATTTAAAAAATATTCACCTTGAATTTCAAAGAAAAATATAATAATTACTAATTATTTTTAAATTTATTATCAAAATATTATCTGCTATGAACTCATTTGGGATATTATTTTAAAATAATTTTAGAATTTAAAGCATTACTTATCATTAATATCAATTGATTTAATTATTTTCAGACTTTAACATCAATTAATTGATGGATTGATATCTCCCATTTTATTGCCTTTTATAAATGCCAACCTTTTCTGGTTATTAAGTTATGTGAATTCATGAACAAAATTAAGACGATAGCCAATTAAATCAACTTGCATTTTAAATTCAAGATAAAAATTCTTTTTCTTGATCAAATAAGTTTTACTACATTAAAAATTAGAAATATACTTAAACGTGTTGTAGTAAAAATCTTCATATTTAAATGCGAATTAAAAATTAAATGTAGACAAAAAATGACGCCATTATAGGATTTAAGAACTAAATTATAATGAAATTTATAGAATAAGAAATAAAAAATATTATTTAATCAAATTTTTTAAAGTATTTTAATTATGCAAAACAGAAGTCATATTATGAAATGAGCTTTTTTATCAAGATTTTCTTCGAGATAAATATATTAAGATCTTTTGATTGCATATTTTTTAATAGTAGGCTCTCGAAAGAATTATTTTTTTTTATTTTTAAACATATAGAATATGATTGTCATCAAAATTGATTTAAATAACATTTAGATTATCACAGAAAAAGTAATATTTATGAAACAAAATATCATAATTTTAGTTATTATAACCTTTGGATTAGGTTAATTTACGATTAATATTAAAAACTAGTGTGAATGCTCATAATTTAATCAAAACTAATGCAATATGAATGAATTTTGCTAATGGAATGAAAATTAATCATAATGTCAAACTTAAGGATGCTAATATTTTAATACATAAGCCTCTTGTCTAAAAAATTTCTATGAATGTTTTTGGAATGGTACATAATGCTAATAATTTACTTCCTGTTCTAATTTAACATCTTCGAGTTTATAATGTTATTAATAAAATATTCAATGTGTCTAAAATATAAACAACCCTACTATTTGTATATCATTAGATGATTAACCTAAATGTTCTTTATTAAATTAGAATGAATGCAATTTAGAACAAGTTATTTATCCATAAACTATTTGTTATTGGAACAGTTTCTATAATTAATGTGAGATGGCAACATCATGTACTTAATTAGCTATTTAATCAAATATATGTGAATATATTTAAAATAGTTGTACTTTGGAACGTATTGGTTATTCAACAGAATGTGTACAACTATAATGCAGTGATTTTTAGAATGAAGCTGATTGCACTTATATAGTAGATGGTTTAAACACAAATACCATAATACCATGTTAATATTTAAATGGATATTGTCAGTCTATTACAAATGTGTTAGAATTAAATGTTCAAGATTGCTAATTTCTGACTTTCCAGACACATTATTGGATTTAAAATACAAATTCTACTGGAGTATGTTTTCCATGTATTTATTCAGCTCCAGCCTAATTTATTATTAATTAATATCAACCTAGTAATAAATGTTAATGTTCTAGTTTTCTTAGTGAATAATGTTAATAATCAAATTATTGTATATGGTAGAATGGTGAATGCAATATACTAAATTGCAATCAGATAGATAATTAACTTAGTTGTGTAATAAATTAAGCCTGTGCATGGGTTGATAATGCTTGTTAAGAATTTTAAGATTGTTAAACAATTATTGCATAAAATTAATAATAATGTATTAGCAGCTCGTTAAATTGTCCTTTTCATGCATACGGTACCAATTACTGCTTAGCTGAATGGTAGAATTGCATATATTTAGAACAGGAGTGTTATAAAATTATTAAATGTGAGCAAATAACTCAATAGAAATAATGTTACAAATTTTCATATGCCTGCATATGGCAAATGGGTAGATGTTAATAATTATATTGTAATCAGATCTAAACTGAATAAGACTGTAAATATACATTTCCAAGTTTGTACATGAATGTTGCTTAAATATGTGTATGGTAAAATGGAAAATGTAAGGATTTAAATGAATCAAATAATTTAGATTCTGAATAATGTTTATAAAACACATTAGATACCTATAAATGGACTGGATCAAGCTGTGTATCGTGTTTTGAAGTGAATTGGTAATTATAATTTTCTCTTCAACTTCCAAATTAATGTAATTGCTCTTAGTTACAAGCTGAGTACACTTGCTTATAAAAATCTTCTTGTATTTGGTCTAATTCATATTGTTAATCTATAGAATGCTCAAGCATAATGAGATAATTTTAATGTGCTTCTAATCCTTATTGTGTTTGGCTTAAAGGATAATGCTAAATGTTTAAATCTTGCACAGAATTAAAAGGAACAAATTAATCAGATTGCATTGTATTAAGTATTAATTGTCCTGCAAGTGATGGAATAAATTGTCTCGATAGCAAATTATTATTACCTTGTTCAGCTTATAAATCTTAGAGTTCATGTACTAATATGTTAGGAAGAGATGGATTCTGTATTTGGTAATATAGTACTTGTCAAGTATTGAGGAATTGTTAATAAATAAATAAATAACAAGATTGCTAGTATTTTACAAAATAGTGCTATTGGAGTACTAGTTGTTAACCAGTTAGTTGCTCAATATTCAACACTCCTAATACTTGTTAATATTACTATTAATCAATCAATTCTTATACTCCAGTCTCCTGTTATTGGGTTTTTGGCCAAGGAATTTGTGCCTAAACAACTGATTTTATGAAATAGTTAACTCCTGCAACTTGCTAAACTAATACTAATTTAACAGCTACATGGAGTAATACTTTAAAAATTTGTTTGAGTTGTCTAATTCCTTCTCCACCCAATCCAAAACAATGTTCTTGTTCTTAATTAATATCTTAATAAAATTGCTTATAAAGTTAGTAATGCTTTTGGAATATTGAAATAAATTAATGTTTACAATTACCATGCGATAAATTGAATCAATAATAATGTATTCAGAACTCTAAATGTTGGTGGAAATTTACAATGTAAGCCTGCGAATAATTGACTTCATGTAGTGATCTATATGCTGGTTCTGATTTTGAATGCATTTCTTAATCACTATTTTGCCCTTTGTAAAATAAAGATGATCCTCCTTATTTTAAATGTGAATCATATTCTTAAATAAACTTTACAAATTGTGAAGATCTAAATTAAACATAATGCAATTAATATGTGATGCCACCATACTATATATGCTAATGGAATAACTATTTAGGTAAGTGTTAATATTAGTCTTATTGCAATTAACTAGGTAATCCAAAATTATGCTATAGCAATCCTTTTTGCTATTATTAAGATGGATGTAAGTCTAAAACATGTGAACAATTTAATACTTTAGAATCATGTAAGTTTTCCATTAATCCAAATAATTGGAATTATATATAATCATGTGCATGGCTAAATGGATCTTGTATTTCTGCTGATAATCTATTTTCTGAATAAAATTGCTACATTAATTCTGATTATACTGCTAGATGGAGTACTAATGTAAAAGATGGTTTTTGTATTCCTTGTAATATTTCATTTTAATAATCAATCACTCCAAAAAATTAATGTTTGTGTTCTTAACTATTAACTCAATATGAATGTAATTTGTCCTCATGTTATTGGTAAAATGGATTTTGTATTGATAATAATTATGATTGTAATTAGTCAAATTAGATTGATTGTATATAAAAAGCTTATTGCTATTGGATTTATTAGAAAGAATTACCATATGGAGGATATTGTAATAATATTCCTTAACTATAAATATAATAATTTTGCACAAGACTAAAAGGAAGTAATTCTTTAGAGTGCCTATCGTAAACAACACTTTGTCCAGTTTCTATAGATGGAATTTGCTAAGATAGAACATATCTTTAAACTTGTTAAAGCAAAAATTCTATATAATTGTGTGCTAACAGCATTGGATAAGAGGGATATTGTACTTATTAAAACTAATCTTGTTAAATATTAACAAATTGCACTCAATTAAAAACTATTAGTGAGTGTTTTTTATTTGATAAAATATGTGTATGGAATGCAAGTTCTGGTAGTTGTTCCTAACTTTTTTGTTCTTCCTATACAACTTAAGATTCATGTACATATATTTTTTAGAATATCAACAAATCTAACATATAAATTTGTGTTTGGAATACTACTACTAATTTATGTACCACAGCTACTTATATCATTGAAAAGTCATTTCAAGATTGTTATCAAACATCTGGTGGTACTTATCATTGGAGTAACACTTTAGAAACAATTGGTACTTGCGTTTCATGTTCATTAAATAAGATTTAACCAAAACATACCTGTTCATGTACAGAATTGAATAAATTTGAATGTGAAATATCTAAACCAGTTTGTAAATTAAATGAGAGCAATTAATGTGTAAAATTATAATGTTCTGAAATATTAGATTCAGTTTATTGTTCTTAATAGAATGAATGTATGTGGAATTTAAATTAATGTGTAGTCTTTACTAAATGCACCGATTTAAAAGGTTCTAGTACTTTGGATTGCATTGCTTAATCAATTGAATGTTAATATATTTAAAATGGAATATGTTAATCAACATAAAGTTTGCATTCATGTGATAAGTATGAAACTTAAGAATGTACTTTTGGAATATAAGGATCAGATGGCCTTTGTTATTGGAACTCTTTAATAAATTTATGTTCAGTTATTTCTTCTTGCGACGATATTACTAATTAGTTAGTTTGCTCAAGTTTGACCCCTGCATGCTAATGGAGTTACTTTTTTTAATCTTGTGTTCCATTTTAATGTCAAGATCATAATTATAAAGATTAATGCACAAATGTCTTGGTTAATCTTAATGATCCTCAAATAGAATTATGTGTGTGGTAAAATAATAAATGTGTACCGTATGTAGACTCTTTTTATAAGTTAGATGATGATATTTGTTACACCAATTCTGATCACACATACAGATGGGTAAAAGAAGATAAACATGGCACTAGATGTAAGCAATGTCTCAAGTCATCATTGATAAACATCATAGCAATAATAATAATATTGAATATATTATGAAGCGTATATTCAAATATAAATATTTTATAATTCATCTTGAATAATCCTTCTATTTTTGATTTCCTAATTATCTTTTTCTATTTGCAATTATCCTACTCAACTTAAAATTTTTGTTCTTTATCATCTTTATTACTATTATAGCAATTCAAATTTTCTGTAAACCTATTTTCTGATGACATCTTAAAAAAATTGGCTTTTTGTTTATTTGTTATGCTTGAAAAGGATAAAACGACGTACATACTAAAATTTATACAGCTCATGATATCTCAGTACATAGATAAACATTCTCATGTTAAGTTCATCCTTCTATCTATTATTAATACCACCCCTAGTATTCGAAATCATTTTACACTTCCTAACTTTTTATCCTCAAATTCATATTCACCATAACCAAGCTAAAAATTACATAATTTTATTATTGGTCCAAAAATTGTATTCAATCTTTTTCTACATGTAATATTGTGTACTTGAACTTAAAAATCACTTCACTTTATGAAATAGTTAATAAATGTGTCGATAATAATTTAGTTAACTAAAGTATCGTTTGGAAATATCTTGATTGACAGCCAACTTGGAAATGTAGAATATAAAATAAATTAAGAAAACCCTGGTTATGGAATATTAAATTTATTATACTAGTATGATCATCAATAGTTAATAAGAACACAATAATGCTCTAAAGCATTATTCAAGAAGCCAAGTTAAATTATTTAATGAAATAGTTTTTAGGATTTTAAAATTACTAATCGAACTGAAGAAGCATTACTAGAAATTAATATTGCTTTAAATCTTAATCCCAAATTTGCAGAAGCTTATATTTTAAGAAGTTCAATGCTTTAATATCAATTTAGGTAAATTATACCAAAAAATGTAATTAAATGATAAGGCCTTGGAAGATGCAAATTATAGCATATCAATAAAAATAATAATGCTGAAAGTTATTATTAAAGAAGTATAAATTAAATCTTATAATTTAAGCAACAATTTATTGGAGAAAATAATTATTTGATCAAGCATTATAAGATTGTATGAAATGTGTTGAGATTAATACAGACTTTTCAATGGGCTATTATAGAATAGTTAATAAAATAAAAATAAATTTAGGCACTATTATGAGTGATTTGAAATAAAAGGATAATGAGCTCAAATATTACAATTTAGCTATAGAAAAAGATGGGAATTTTTATCATGCATTTATAAGTAGAGGTAACATTAAAATGAAAATATAAGGGCTGTATTATATGGATGAACAAAGAATTGATAAAGCTCTTAGAGATTTCAATTAAGCGATTCAAATTAATCCAAAATATTTTTTGTCCTTTTATAATAGAGGTGAGTTCTAATAATAAATATACAAGGCTAATTATATGATGATATTGGTGAAAAAGAAAAAGCATTAAATGATTATAATCGAGCAATTCAACTTGATCCAAATAATGCATTAGCCTATACTAATAGAGGTTAATACTCTTAAACTTAAGATTTTAGCCAATTTATATTGTAATTTCGGCGAGAAATTCAAAGCATTAAATGACTTTAATCAAGCAATCCGACTATCTCTAAAATTTATTAATGCCTATAACAGAAAAGGTTTTATTTCCATAATAGAATTTTAGGTGTTACTTTATAGAATTTGAAATAATATGAACAAGCAATAATCAGCTATAATAAAGCGATTCTAATTAATCCAAATTATGTTTATGCCTACTATAATAAAGGTTTTATGTTAAATATCAATTAGCAATTTCATTACTTCTTTAGAATATTTTCTCAAAATAGCAAAACTAAACCAAATCTATGAAGCCATTAAAAATTATTAATTAGCAGTATCATTAAAGCATCCATCTTAAATATATATTTCTTTAATAATCAGTAAGCTTAGAGCAATATACTGACAACGATCTTCAAAAAGCTTTTATACTATTTTCTATTGTTATTTATAATTATTAGAAAAAGAATATAAATAATTTTAACTATTTTTTACGTTAGTATAATTAAATTTTATTTTAACAGTTGTATTAACTCCATTTCTTATTATCTTTGACAATAATTTCTTATACTTATAAATGCTATGATGTTTCTCTTTTTTTATCAGTACCAAACTAATTATAATTTATTTAAAATAATATTCTCACTAATATCGAAACGTATACTCTTCTATATGATTACTTAAATCAATTATTTTCCTTCATAGTTATTTATTTCACATTTCTAGACAACAACAAAAAAGAAATATTACTTAAAATGATGTTATTAGATTAAACTATTTACTTTATGTTAAAAAATTAAATTATTTTTTTTTTCTTTTATAATGCCTGATTTTAGTATATTAACTTAGATTCTTTTGATTTTTATGGAATTTTTTGTAAGTATGAAAGAGCTTAGCTTATAAATTTACTTATAAACCAAACATTTGAATAGCAATCCTTTTAAGTAAGTGTGAATTAAATTATGAAAAGTTGAAAATATATCCTTTACGATAAAGTTTATATTGAATACTTAGAAGTTTGAATAAAAACTAAAAAAAAAATGAATTTTCAAATGCGAAATATCTGAATATATAAGTCTAATTTCTTAGTTTGAAGAAACAACATCTATAAATTACTAAATATTAAGGATTAATCTAATAAAAATAGTTTTATTCGCAATTTAAAGCTTTGGATAATACATATTATGGCATATTCATATGCAGAAATCGAATAATGATTTTTTTTCTGAATAAGTCAAACAACTAATTTTTAATGAAATAATCTTCTTCAAATATTAATTTTACCATTATTTAAGAGATTTCGTATGAGATATAAATTTTGAATTTCTTTTATTTTAAATTTAACTCTTAATCTCAAGGATTAATGATTCTAATAATAAAAAAATAGCATGACTTAATAAAGTAGATTAATTATTTGCTTTACTAAATTCCTTATTAATTTTTGTTGTTTCCAAATATCAACAGTTTTTAAGTTGGAAAACAAGATATTCAACCATGGCAAATGTAGAACCAATAAATATGGAATAATAATATTTTGGTTTTTCTGAATCATTGGTAATTATGAAATTCAAGTATATTACAATTGAGGTTAAGGATTCTGAAGTGATTTGAGATATATATATTCTGAATGTCCTAGCATAGCGGTAAAGATAAGGATGTTCTTGAAAACGTAATCTGAATAAGTAGTTTTGACCAAAGCGTATATATAAATTAGTGCATAAAATTAAGAGAGATTTATTTTGTAAAAATGAACAAATTTTAGTAATACAAATTAAAAAAATATCAATGAAAAAGCTAGAGTTTAAAAAGAAGAATTGGAAACATAAGGTGACATTTTTATAAAAGAAGAAATTTGATTAAAGATTTCTTTAAATATATAAATAATTAGCATATTAATCGATTTAATTAGATAGTTTTAATTGTTGAAATTTCTGATAACTAAAAGCATTCATAAATTTTAATACAAATAAAAATTTTCTTACCAATAATTTTAATTTTTTCAAGATAATAAATTGATAAATTATGGCCTTTAGAAAATAAGAAATATGAAATATAATTTGAGATACCTATTCCAAAGGTAGAAAAATCTGGGCCTTATAAAAGATGAAGTAAGGATTTTTATTTTTTCACGAGTTTGATTTTTTTTTCAAAAGTAAAATTTGGATTTAGTTAAAATTGTGAAAATAATTTTTAATAATTTTTGTACTTTAACTAACTAACGTTGAATTAAAAAATATTGTTTATATAATTATTAATTTTTTACAAAAGGCCTTCATTTTCCACTAGCTGACCTGAATTTTGGAAAATGAGTTATGCAATTTTTAGTACTTAAAAATATAAAAAATTATTTAAAACAAGTGTTAATTGCAATACATCATACTTTGAATTAGGCATTAACGAAATTGAAGCCATTAATATACAGAGGACCATTACTATTAAGTTAAATTAGTAATTGGATAATTGTAAAGAAAAAGATCTATAAATTAATCACATTATAATATTTATAAATTTAATCCTTTTTGCAAAAATCAGTATCCAGTTTCAAGAATTTAATCTTTACATATCACATTGATGAAAACTAAAAATGACATCTTGAAATTGTATTTAACAAATATATATTGGCTTTGAATATCAGTCAATATTAATCAATTTCATTATAAATATCTGATAATTTATTTATTTGGGATTATATAAATATTTTAAATTACTATTTAAACAAATAATATCTGTTGAAGTATTAATCTTTAGTAATTTTATTAAAGTTAATTCATTTTTATAATTGTGGAATGATTTTATTTTATTAAATTATTTATGATTATAAATTTAAAATAAATTAGGGAAGTTGAGATAACAAATTTATGAGAAATTTTATTCTATTAATATTTGATGAAATAAAATAGTTAATAGTTTTCTTTTTTTTAATAGTAAATAAATAATATTTTATACTACATGTATATTA